GCGTTAATGTTTACATGTGTGAAAAGTGTGTTTGAAAACGAGTCTGATTGCATTATTACTGCACATGAATGAAACGGTCCCCGGCCAGGCGGCCGGGTGACTCACCCAGGGCGGGGGCGCCCAGTTGGGTAAACTAGGGCATGGCAAAAGTCAGAGATTCCTTTTCTTTGTGTTTTCTGTTTTGAAACGGTATTCAGATCCCAGGGCTCGATCCCTGCTCCTCACCTTACCTGTGTACAGTATCTTTGTCGACCCTGATAGTTGAACCCGTGACCTGTGTATTCGTAACAGTTGGTAGACTGTCGTAGGGTCCGTAGGTGGCAGGGGTTCGATCTGTAGACCTGTTGTTTGTAGGTCTTAGTAGGTCCTAGAAGTCGTAGCTGTAGGACTTCTGAAAGGTCGAGGTCGTAGCTGCTACAGTCCTGAAGGGTCAAAGTCGTAGCTGCTACAGTGTCGAAGGGCCAAGTCCACAGACTTCCGGAAGGTCCGGAAGCGGCCCTTCGCTTGTTGTTTACAGTAGCCCAGAGGCAAGTGGGCAAGTGGTGGAGTCCACCTGTGCTGAGTCAGCGGTACCCAGTCCCAGTCAGTCCTGGTCCAGTGAAGCAAGTACCGTATGGGACTGTGTGCACCACGGGCATGGGAAAAGGGCATGGGAAGTGGGCAAGCATAAATCAAGAGGCAGCACCCAGCCATTCATTCATTCCTGCGTAAGCCATGCGGAAGCGCTACCACAGCGACTTGTGCGAGGTGGTCTGCAGTATGCCCGAAGACGAAGTGGGCGAGAAGGAGAGCTTAGCCATAGCAGTAGAGGTAGTAGCGGCCATAGCCGCCATAGCTGAGGGAAGGGTGTAGTGTGTGTGTACGTGTCTGTACAGTGTGACGCGTGCAGGATATCCAGGGTGATCCTGTGTGTGAACAGCAGAGTTGGGTGAGTGACGAACAGAGAGTTGTACAGGCGCTGGTGCGCCATAGCCATCTGAAGTGAGCTTGTATCTGAACTATGTTCTTGTTTACTGTATCTCTGAGTTTTGAGTGGGCGCTTGTCGCCAGTTTGCTGCGCAACCTGTTTACATGCATGTGGAGTGTGAACGAAAGTGAGTCTGATTGCATTGGTATCGGAGCTGGTACCCGCTATTCCACGCGCCATCGTCGTGTGCCGCAGGGAGAGTCGCGCGCCATAGCCGAAGGCGCCATCGAAGAGGAAGACCACCATAGCGGATCCGTAGGGTGAAGAAGCCGCCGCGCACACCTGCAAAGAAGACAACGACGAAGAAGAAGAGAGAGAGAGAGAGAGAGAGAGAGAGAGAGAGAGAGAGAGAGAGAGAGAGAGAGAGAGAGAGAGAG